CGGTGTGCGGGATGATATCCTGTTTTATTTTGTGTTTTAGATGGTAATACGTCTGGCGCAAATGTCGTGTGGAATGAGAAACACTGTTGTGCGATTACAACGATATTTTGACCACTGTGCCAACAAACAACGAAATACCATATTCGCAACTAACACTGCCTTATTCTTGATTCTTTCGGTAAAGTCACGTAGAAGGGAAATACAAAAATACAAAAATACAAATTCTAGCTGTGGTTTTCACACCTGATGATGATTGCTTGTGTTGCAATCGAAACGTCGTGAGAATTGTATTATTTAAATAGTATTATTTTATTATTTCCCTTCTACGTGACTTTACCGAAAGAACCAAGAATATGAATCCCTGCAGTCACGAAAGCTTTAAGTAGAAATTTAACACTGCCTTGTTACAGAAAAATACCATTTAATAGGCTGACGTATCGGGCAATGGCCCTTCTTCAATTTGTATGTTATGAAGGGTTTTAAATAGTATACTACTGCATTGTTTTATGTTACCAGCTAAGGCCCAATGAGTTATGTGTCTCTTTGTCAGAAACGACCTGGCCACAAACGACAGCTCAACGAAATGGCTTGTCACGTGGAAAATATAAAGCAGCCAAATAATCTAAACGCACGTTTCTAAATGCCAGGGTCGGGATCAACCCCATGTCCTCCTGCATACTAGGCGAGGTAGTTAACATGTCACACGCGTGTACTGTCAAATGCAGTGGCGAGTGATGTCCAAATCGGTCATCGGCACTGACCAGCTTGGTGAGACCAACCCCCCAGCCAGACACGCTGGGGTAGAGGGGGGGGTGTAATTGGGTTGGTTAACGCCTGTAAATTACAATTAGCCTCATTAATAAGACAATACACCATCGCTACTCAAGGAGCTCATGTTCGATTAACTTGGCAGCAGCATGGCCATCTACTGCGGCATCAGCGTCATCGTGAGCAGCAGTTGTGTGTATCGATATTGAACTTCTTTCGCACCGTACGTAGCTAATCATGCTCATCGCAGGTGCGGGAAATCGGAGGAGCAGCAGCATCAGCATTATCTGCAGCAGCATCAGCATTATCTGCAGCAGCATCAGCATTATCTGCAGCAGCATCAGCATTATCTGCAGCAGCATCATCATCATCATCGCTATCGACAGAGGGGTTGGGCCCTGAGGGCAAGGAATCGTGATACCGTCGCGTGCCGGGCGAGACACACCTCACGCTGCACACAAACATGATCAGCTAACAGACGTAACGTGATTTACGCGTATCACACACACACAGACAGAGATCCCCCCTATAGCCTGGTAGCGAGCACCTATGAAGGCCACAATGCACCGGAAACTCGTTTGGGGCTGAGTCGAACTAGGGGAGGCCCAATTTGGGTTATTGTTCGTGAGTGGGAATCGAACTCGGGAAGCTAGGTACGGAGCGCCACCGCTCCTCTTACACACACCTTTGCACAAATACAAAGATCCTCCGCATAGCCTTTAATAGACTGTTGGGGCAAGTGCTGTTAGCGAACACCTATGCAGGCCGGCACGGCACACGAGGGGGTGGGTGGCCAACAACACGCCAGGCCGCCTTTGTCTCCCCAGCGGCGATGAATACACACCGCGCCAGATACTCATTTGAGGCTGAGTCGACCTAGGGGAGGCTCAGGACCGGTTCAGATAATCGTCACCGGTGTTGGCCCTGAGCGGGAATCGAACTCGGGTGGCCGGTTTCGTAGCACAGCGCGCTAACCACGACATTACCTCTTCCCACAGATGCACGCACACACACAGACACACACAGACACATACACAGACACACACAGACACACACAGACACACACACAGACACACACAGGATACATTGCGTTCAGTTTACAGGCGTTCTTATTTGTTGACTTATCCTTTAGACATTGGGGGATTTTTTTTTATTTGAATGCTCTTTGAAGTGGGCATGGTTTTTGTTTGTACAGATCTCGCTTGCTAATGAGCTGTGATCTCGGTCTCTCTCGCTTCTTAAGGGCCTTGTACTCGTTCTCGGCAATGTTGGCTGGTTTTTTGGTCCTTGTTTTGTTGTTGTTGCTTCTGGTGCTCCCACGAATCACCACGGATCTCCATGTGTACAATAGCTGGACAATAACTGGCTAAGCGGGGACCGTCATCTGTGTAACAAATTAAATAAGCGTATACTTAAAAGTCTCTCTCTCTCACCCACATTACGTAAATATATTGGTGCTGACTTTGTTTGATTTGCGAGCAAATGAAGATACTGATTCTGAGTAGCTCGGGCAGTATTAACTCAGTGAACGCGTGGTCCCGAGGTATAATTGCATATTCCGTGCGTGTGTGTGTGTTCTCCACGTCATATGCTTACGCGTATGCCTACGCAGAAGGCATGCTGATGATGATGACGCTGCACGCTTAAATCGACGCTGCTAATTTTAAATTACTCGACGGTGACTCTTGCGTTAATTCATGAATTGAACAAAACTGTTAAGCGGAAGTACCCGTCGACTCGAAATGAGTGGCGACTCGATAGTTTTTCACTCCAAGAATCAATATCCGTAACATTCTATAATTAAATGAATCACGGAGCCACCTGTGAATATAAGTGATTTATGTGATTGTGTTTTCCCCCCTCCATGAAAAAAATGTGATAATTAGTATTCTGAAAATCCAGCATACCAGATAAACGTACGAATTTTTATAACCAACCTTGATTTATAACAAAGAATATCTGGCTTTGGGATGTGTGTCATGAAAACGGACCGTTGTCCGAAACGTCGTCTAATATACACGCTGTATATTTCCTCTAAGGCCACAGTGTTCTTGACAAACGTATTGAGTTTTGTTGTCGTTAGCGGTGCTTGTGCACCACTGCCAACCCATCAGCAGCAGCAGCAGCAGCCTCACCAAACCATTTTGCTTTAGGGCCGAGTTCAGCATCACATACATTGAACTCCCAGTCGCATGTTAAAACGACGCAGCCCGATTTCACACAAGGCGACGTTATTACATCCCAATAGCAAAAATACTTAACAACCAACCGTGTTGCACGTGTTATAAATATGATGGTCATGAGCAGGAGCCTTGTGCAAGTCACCGCTGGCCTGGAGGCATTTATCAAGCTGCGGCCAGCTCACGACCCTGAGATGTAAATCAAAATATTATCACGTTACTCGTCATACGTTAAGCCTCATGGGCCTTTGCTAGCATTCGATAATTTATTCAAATAAACTACGCGCTTAATTTCTCTCTCGATATTTTCCACAATTCTGATAGTCTCAAGGCTGGCTTGTCGCAAGGTCGGAGTTATCGGCGTAAGGCACTAACACTAACAGTGCACGATACGGCAATCCATAACAATCCGATATTATTGTACCCGATATATTCTCTCTAGTGAGTTAAGACAGCGAATTTAATTTGCATACGCAGTTTAACAAAATTGGATGCCCACTGGGAGGCGTTTCTGATGCGCCAGAACATTGATTAAATACCATGGGACAGAGCTAAATGGAAGGAAGTCCACAATTGCCCACGTCTCTGAGAGACGACGCGGCTCACACAGAGCGAGCCAGAGAGCCGCTATCGCTCCAGCCCCACGAGTGGTAACATCACGTTAGGTGAATATGCCCTCCTCAAATAATTCCGCTGACCAACAGCGTTCCGGACTGTTCTGATTGAAACTAATCGTCGTTTGTGCGCATCTCTATAGTATTATACATATGTGTGTATGTGTGTGCATGCATGCATGCATGGTTATGTGTGTGTGTATATATATGAGGAGCGCTAGTGCAACGTTTAGCGCGATGCGTTAAGGACCCGGCGACCCGAATTCGATTCCCGCTCACGGCTAACACTAGTGACGATTATCTGAACCGGTCCGGGGCCTCCCTTAGGTCGACTCAGCCTCAAATTTGTACCCGATGCTATGTGTAAACATCGCCACTGGGGAGGCAAAAGCGGCCGGGAGTGCTGTCTGTTGGCCGTGCCGACCTTCATAGGTGCTCGCTAACAGCACTTGCCCCAACAGTCTGGAAAAAACCTACACGGGAGACCTTTGTCTTTGTATATATATACTGTATCACACATATATGTACGTCTCGAGAGCGCACGACTCGGATAAACAGTCGTTGTGGGCATTCGCGTGTAGTTATTATTTGAATGGTGCAAGCACGTGTAAGGTAAATTATAGAGGGCTGCCGCTGCTGCTGCTGCTGCTGCCTCCTCTATCTCCCCCCCCCTCCTCTCTCCTTGCCCCCCCCCCCCACCCGAGCGAGCGAGGCGTCCGCGTTACGCGCGGAAGATTTTTGTCACCGAGCGCCGCCGGCGTCCGCGGCGTCCCCCCCCGTGAACGCGCGATGACGACTCGACGCGCCCGAGTGAGAGCGTGAGAGAGCGTGAGAGAGTGTGAGAGAGAGCGTGAGAGAGTGTGAGAGAGAGCGTGAGAGAGCGCGCCAGAGAGCGTGAGAGAGCGTGAGAGAGAGCGTGAGAGAGCGCGCCAGAGAGCGTGAGAGAGCGTGAGAGAGAGCGTGAGAGAGCGTGAGAGAGAGCGTGAGAGAGAGCGTGAGAGAGCGTGAGAGAGAGCGTGAGAGAGCGTGAGAGAGAGCGTGAGAGAGCGTGAGAGAGCGTGAGAGGCCGTGCGTGAGAGGCTGTGCGTGAGAGGCCGTGCGTGTGGTGCGCGCGCGAGCGTGAGACCCAACACGGTACCCGTGCGTGAGAAGGAGTGAGGGAGAGAGCGCGCGTGAGAAGGAGTGAGTGAGAGAGAGAGAGAGCGTGAGAAGGAGTGAGTGAGAGAGAGAGCGTGAGAAGGAGTGAGGGAGAGAGCGCGCGTGAGAAGGAGTGAGAGAGAGAGAGCGTGAGAAGGAGTGATAGCACGTCGTACGCCCACACCGGTGTACTGTGCCCACCTCCCCCGCTGCTACGCGTACCACGCACGCCCCCCACCCCAGCACCCCCAGCGCCATGCCGCCTTGGGACGCACGTAGGTCCGTTTCGACGGAAATTCGCCGCGAAGGCGCCGCGCGTGTTTCTGCGGCGTGCGGCGAGCGGCGCTGAAGACGAAGTCGCGGGGAGGAATTGCGGGCGACTCGGCGTGACCTGGACCCCCCCCGTCACCCCCACACGGTGAGGAATAACGACACCCCCCCCCCCATTACCGGACCCCCACTTGTTCTATCAGAGCAGCACGCTGCCGGCTGGAGACTCCAATCAAGACCCCCCCACCCCACTCCCCGCGGCATGCCACATTACCGTCGCTATTAATCGGTGTTCGCATGTCGATCAAATGTATACAAGGCTGTGTATATATGGATATTTGTGTTGTCCGCCATACTGGGCATATGTGAAAAAAAGCTTAATAGTTGATCGGATTCCTCCAGTATAAATAAATATTCTGATTCTGTATATGTGTGTGTATATATATGGATCGCACATTTAAACAGATGTATACATGTGTATATTTGGCATCAGCATTAAGTTATAACACACACCGTAATAATCGTGACAGCGTTTCGGGGAATGGATCTTCACAGCTCAGAAAGTAGCGCTGCTCCTGATTTTTTGTTGTTGTAAAAATGCGTAACAGTCGTCTGGTCTTTACGCAGTGATTTACATATCGGTCACCTCGAAAGCACGAAACATCAGCCACCATATATATACACACACATACACCTCTGCAGAAGATTATAACTCGCGATTATGATAATGTTATCATCTTCAGCGCTTTGACAATCCACTGCTGGACGAATGCGCTCCATGCCGTGTCAGTCATAGATGGGTGGTTGGTGGTGGTGGTGGTGGTTTTGACCATACTTCACCAGGCAATGTTAATGACACACGCGTCGATAACTATTTTCACAACTGACAACAGATTATCTTAACGTGATTTTTTGTCGGTGTGTAATTACGAATTATTACGCCACGCCTGTGGTTGTAGACATCACGGACGCGTAACGCACATGGCGCCATTTCGCTTTGTTATTTTTAAGAAGTACAGCAACAACAACAACAACAACAAAAACATCCAACACGTGTTTACATTAATCATGCTGCTTGTTGCTGGTTCGCTCGGCATGTTGAATCCTTTCCGGTCTGTTCTAGGCGACGCGTGATGACAGTATACACATAGACACAGCGCATACATATGCCGTACATATATATATATATAACATTGCCTCTGGTGGCTCGCTAATCGTGCTCTGCATCATGTTGCAAGTTTTTTGTTTCGTGTTGTTGACTGCACTCCGCGATCTCTATAAGAGCTGCGTTAATTAGCGGCGTGGGGGGGCGAGATTCGACAGAGACGCGAGCTCGCACGTGCTTCTCCTGTGTGACGTAGCTTCGACCATTTAAAATGGCGTTTACCTTCGAGCTGGAGGTCATTATATATATTCTCCCTTTAAAAATAATAGGTATAATAATAATCATCATCATCGTCATCTAACTGTACAACAAAACAAGTCGAAGGCGGTTTAATTGACTTCCGTTGAACGAAATCAATTGCGGGCAGACCTTCGATGATTCGCCGATATTGAACCGATATCGAACCGGTTTAACGGAGCGCTCTGACGCCCGATTTAAATAATGATGTTATGTAAATGAAAAACGAAAAAATATCTACTCGTTTGATCGTCTAAACGCACGGCGAATTTATCTGAATACACTTTGGCGCTGGACTGTTTAACACACATAGACGAATTTTCGCAATTTCGTGTCTTTTAAATTCGCCAGCGTTTTTCAACTGGCGATACATTTCCAACAACAAGCATCGCCACACAACAACAACCACCACAGAACAGGTTCCACATTAGAGTTTTATTATCGTCAAATGTAAGAACCATACAATTTCGCAATAAAAGTAACATTTTTTGGCGATTCGTGTCCCATGTTTTTCAGCCAAATATATATACACACATATACACATATATATACATACACAACCACTATATTATATACGCCGTGAGGTAGGCGGCCGCAATATTGATCGCTATTTTTTTCTCCTCTATGCGCGGCGTCAAATGCGTGTGCGTTTGAATTTGCGTATGTGCGTGCTTTAGTGTGTGGGGAGCGGTAGTGTAGCGGTTAGCGCGCTGCGCTATGAACCGGGCGCCCAGAGTTTGATTCCCGTTCGTGGCCAACACCGGTGACGATTATCTGAACCGGTTTTGGGCCTCCGTCAAAGTCGACTCAGCATCAAATGAGTACCTGGTGCGGTGTGTAAACATCGCCGCGAGGGAGACAAAGGCGGTAGGGCGTGGTGCTGGCCACCCACCCACTCGTGTGCCGTGCCGGCCTTCATAGGTGCTACTCGCTAACAGCACTTGCCCCAACAGTCTGTTAAGGCTGCACGGGGGATCTTTGTCTTTGTGTGCGTGCAATGGAATAGCCGTCGGTCCATTGCATTCGCGCGGGCCCATATTTTATCAATTAAACGAACCCCTAACGAAATATTTCAGAAGTGGCTATGAACCAGTGATTTAAACAAATTAGCCCGTCCCATTCAATTGTCTCAAAAATAGAAAGTTAGACAATCCATACAGATTTGTTTTTTTTTTTACCCAATAAACGCGCAGTACAGCGAGCCCATTCGGAGGACACCCTTCCCTTCAACTGGTAATTTTGGCCCAAGACGAGGATGATGATGATGATGCTGGTGGTGGTGGTGGTCGCTGGTGGTGGTGGTGGTGGCTGGTGTTGGTGGTGGTGCTGGTAACAGTGGAAGGAGTACGAGTAATAATATTAATGTGGCCCCGGGTTGAGCCGGGATCGTGACGACACGGCGGCAGCCAATGGGGGAGCGCGGCGTGCGAGCGACAACGCCGTTCCAATATCTGCCCCAGTCTAATCCATATGCAGCAGGTAGCCGGGCAGCAGCAGCAGCGACAGCGGCTCTGGCGATGTTGGCGATGTTGGTGGTGAAGAAGTTTTTACTCGACTCGGCTTAAATCGCGCGCCCTTCCAGCCATCCCTCCCCCCCCGGGGGTTTGGTAAAAGAGAGCGTCCGATCAATCGCCGCTCCTCGCCGCCGGCATCCTCGCTCGCAATCGTAGCAGCAGCAGCAGCCTCCTCCTCGTCTTCGCCTCCTCGTATATCGTCGTCATCATCATCAGCATCTTATTATATTTAGATTTTTTTTCGGAGGGGGTGGTGGTTGTTGGGGGGGGAGAGGGGGCGCGGGGGGGGCGCAAAAAGAATCCACCTTTTATCGATCACCACCCCCCCCCCATCATAACCCCCCCCCACCACCCCCCCCCCCTTCATCCCCCCCCCCCCGGCTAGCCCGTAACACCCAGACGCACTCGCCTGGCGTGGTTATGTCGCTCTATGATGACCATGAGCGCAATGGCTGACGGATTGGACGCGCCAGACTGCAGCGGCGGCAAGTCGGCCTTCCTCGAGTTCGGCCAGGGCGGCCACCCGCACATGATGAGCGCATCGACGGCCGCCACGTCCATGGCGCACCACACGCACCACTACCCGTCACACTGCCTGCCCTCGGCCGGGCACGACAGCTCGTACGCGGCCGCCGCCGCAGCCGCAGCCGCCGCCGCCGCAGCCTCGTCGTACCAGAGCAGACCGCTGGGCTACCCCTACCTGAACCCCATCGGCAGCGGGACCGGCGGCGCTTCGGGGGGCTACAGCCTCGGCGCGCTGCCCTCCTACCAGCCGAGCAGCGCGCTCAGCCAGACGCGGCTCGACGACACGGGTGAGCGCGCCGCCGGCAAATCGATGTTCTTGTTGTCGATGTTGTTGTTGCTGCTGCTGTGGTTGTTAACGCAGCGCGTGGTTGTTGTTGGTTGTTGTTGTTTCTGCGACTGCAAGACGGCCTCGGTGCGCGTGTGTAGGACGTGCGCGAACAGCGCGTTAGCAATGCTTTGTTTGGCGGTGCTGATCCGTTCATTATTCATAAATGGTTATTTGAAGGTAAATTAAGAGCACTCTTCTCGTTACGTGAATGATGCCGCGTGGTATAATCGCTCTTGACGCGCGACGAGAGAGAGAGATTGAGAGACACTCGCGTAATTTACGAGCTACAAAAAAAATGTCCCGTGCCGTAGGGGGGAGACACTGCCGCGTTCCCGAAGCCGGAAAATAACCGTACGACTTGTGACCTCGACGTTACAGCCAAGCAGTGGTGTTGTCGTCGTTTTAATAGTTATCATTTACTTTCTGTTAAAAAAAAATGTTAATCTACAAAAATTTAAAGCGACATTCACCGTAGCACGTGCATAACACGCGTCGTGAGTGAACGCATGTAACACGTTGCGCGTGTAACCCGCGGTGTAAACGACGACTCCGACTATTATCAGTGAACATCTATTATTCGTCGACAATTTCTGTATCGATCGATATGACTCTTTATATCGGTAACCAACAAACTCGGTGTAGATTCTGCAGTTTTGGCGCGGGAAAGCGGCGGCATCGTTAGCCGGATTTGGATTCTCGCGCGCAATCCGCGAACGATGTTGCGGGACGATTGATTCATTCATTCGTTCATATATCACTTGCATTGAATTATCGCACACGCTATACGGGCAGCCACGTTTACACGGCTGTGTGTTTCAACGTTGGTTGCCCGATTATTATTATGATTATTATAATATGTGTGTCTCTGACATCTCGTTTGTAATTTAATTTTTGTTCCATACGACGTCAACAAACCGGCGGCGGTCCTAGTCCCCGGGAGGAAGGGGTATTCACTGTCAGCTTCACAATCGGACGACAAACAGCACGCTTTGGTAATTGCCCTCCGAGAGGATAATTGCTGGACTGCCGTTGCTGCTGGTTACCGTAACTGGTATCAAACCATCGTCGACAGACTCGGTAGCCAAAACCCCACATCGCCAAAAGCGTTCGTGGTGCAGCTGCCGGTCACCTCGGTGAGTTTGCCCGTAACGCCTGGGTCTGCTCCGTGACCCACTGCGGGCGAGGCTTTTGACACTTGACGTGACGGCCTCGAGGTGCACCTAGCCTGGAACTACGTCGATCTTTGACCATAACACGGCGAGCGAATGCTGCCCGCGAGTTTGTCTTCAACGTTTTACGAGGGAGGTTTGACGCCGTTTCGGGTTAGCCCGGTCAATTAAGCGGTGTTCAACTTGGACAATGATTTGTAGATATTAATTGATTGATAATAACAAAAACAATCAATGTCAATGCATTTTGGACAAATGTTCAGCGATGTTATACGCACACATACACATTCACAAACAGCGCAGTCTTATGTGTAGTTTAAACAATAATTAAAACAAATGTTAATGTACAGCTCTGTGGTCAATCCGCTGCAAGAGGAAGGCCTTCCCAGCTCGTGTCGGTCATGTGGCCATACTTCACCACGATAGACTGCGTGATTTAGTGCAGGAGTAGTGTGTGGTGGCGGGAGGTGTTCAAGTGCGGCGCTGGTATCGCTCGCCACTGATGTTAGCCGTAGTCGTTAATCAAACTAAGCTTTGTCGGGATCGTGGTGCAGTTCAGTGCGCTAACCACTGCGCCACCGCTCCACCCGCTACACTAAAATATTGACGTCAAACCAACAACAACAACAACGCCAAATAGTTGTTCGTTTAATTCACATCACTAACAACGGCCACGTGTCCCTCTGCCCAGACCCCGACAAGACGCCGGTGATTCACAACGGCGAGCTGCGCTTCAACGGCAAGGGCAAGAAGATCCGCAAGCCGCGCACCATCTACTCGAGCCTGCAGCTGCAGGCGCTCAACCGCCGCTTCCAGCAGACGCAGTACCTGGCGCTGCCCGAGCGTGCCGAGCTCGCCGCCTCCCTGGGACTCACGCAGACCCAGGTGCCCCGCGCGTCTCCACGGCGTCTCTGTGCGTGCGTGTCCCCCCGGTGCTGGCCACCCACCACCTCGTGTGCCGTGCCGGGCACGCGTTAGGGTGCTAACTCGCGAACAAGCACCTGCCCCCCGACAGTCTAGTTAGGGCTATAGGGGTGGGGTTGTCTTTGTCTTTGTGATGATGGCCACCCACCACCGCGTGTGTCGTGCCGGGCCTTCATTAGGTGTTAGCTCAGAGCACTTGCCCCGAAAGTCTGTTAAGGCTATACGGGGGATCTGTGTCTTTTTGTGTGTGTGTATATATACGAACCCGGCGAGCCGAGTTAGATTCCCGTTCACGGCCAAACAGCAGTGGCGAATATATGAACCGTTTTTGGGCCTCCGCTAGATCGGCTCAGCCTTAAATGAATACCTGGTGCAATGTGTAAATAGCTCCACTGGGAAGACAAAGGCGGCAGGGCGTGGTGCTGACCGCCCAACCCCCGTGTGCCATGCCGGCCTTCAGAGGTGCTCGCGAACAGCACTTCTCCCAACAGTCTGTCAAGGCTATACGGGGGATCTTTGTCTTTGCGCCGTTGCGCAGCGCAGGTGGTGCAACAGGGAGGGCACAGGTGGTGCAACTGCGAGTGATCTCAGCCAGTTAACCCATAACACCTGGGTCTGTTCAGTGACCTCCTCCTACCCACGAGCTGTCGACACTTCACGTGATGGCCTCAAAGCGTACCAAGCCTGGCACGAGCGCTGGTGGTGAGGTCACCGTCACTCTCGTGGACGAACGGCGTCTGCTGTGAGTGTGCGTATTCTTTCACGTGCGCGAAGCTGCGGTGCAGTGGTTAGACCGATTTTGACGATACCTAACGGCCAACATCGAATGGCGAATATCTGAACTGGTCCTGCGCCTAGGCGAGATCGACTCAGCCTGAAACGAGTGCCGGTTGTAGCGTGTAAACTTCAGCACATGGAGGGGGGGTGGGGGGTTGGAGACACAAAGGTGGTGTTCAATACACACCCCGTGCGTCGCTCCCGGTCTCCATTAGGTGCTCGCGAATAGCACTTTGCCCCAACAGTCTGTGCTAGCGATAAGGTGGGAACCTTTGTCTTTGTCTTTTCACGTCGGAGAAATACAGAGCCCTCTCTGAGTCACGCGCCGTGTACATGAAGATGGTTTGGTTTGTGCGGTTTTGTTTAACGCTGGTCAGTGCGGACTTGGTGAAGGTGGGGAGCATACAAGTCCGGTACAATAACTGATGATTGCTGCCATGTCCTCTGTCTCGTGTGTATATATACGTGTGTGTATGTGTGCGACTTGGATGAACTCTCAATTTAAATACTGAACAAAAAATCACCCATTTTAGATATCACTCACCTCTGACGTTCGCCATGACATTGTGTGGTTGTAATCGTGTGTGTGTGTAGGATACGGGGGGGTGTGTGTTGGCTTCAACGCCATTTATGAGTCGCAAGACTCTTTTTCGATGGATTCCTGCATAAGGATGTTTGGCCCATTATTCCGTTCGAAAAATGTATTTCTCTAAAAATGTAATTCTCGAAGAAACCCTACCACACATTAGAGGGGACAACACTCGAGTCTCCACACGCATGGATTCAGGAATCCATTTTCTGACACCGCCATCTGCTGGCTTACCTCACAGCTCAGCGGACATGTAAGTTCCACACGAATCTATGCGTGAACCACCAACCCTTGGATGGCAGACATGCACCACCAGCGGATACGGACTCGCTTGATTTCCGGGCAGGATTTCCCAAGCTGCCAAAGCACACACATTCTCCACCTTTAATCCCACAACGACAACACCACCGCCATCACCACTACGACCACCACCATCACCACTACGACCACCACCACCACACGCCGCTACTCGAAGACGCAATTATCTGGCTCAATGTAAAATCATAGTTATTCCTCTGCATTAACATCAGGTCCACCACCACAACCACGACTATCACCAGCATTACCACCACCACCGCTATCACCCGACATCACCACCACCACCACCATCAACCACGCCATTGCCACGTTATCCCCTAACCCCTTCCCGGGTGAGATACCGCGGGGCCCGTCGTGGGAGGAAGCGGGTCCCGGGGTGCGATGTTGCGAGGCGAGCTCTGGAATGTGTCTAATTGTTTCGACGCAACCACAATCGGCAAAACCATTAGACCTGCGCTTGTGTGCCACTTGTATTCGTTTCCGCACGTGCGCGTGAGTGCAATGCCGCGAACAGCGAGACAGACACCGCGTGGATGCAGATTGCATGCACCAGGGACACGCTTTTCTCTCTCTCACGCAGCAGAGTAACCCCCCCCCTCCCACCTTGTGTAGCCTACATAGACTGTTGGGGCAAGCACCTGTCAAAGCCGGGTAGCCAGCACGACCCCCCCCCAAACCCGCGCCGCCTTTGTCTCCCCAAGTCGCGATGTTTACGCATCGCATCAGGTACTTATAATTGAGGCGGAGTCGACCTAGTGTTGGCCCAGCACCTGGTGTAGATGTCACTCGCGACTGACGCTCTTCCCGTGGTCCAAAATCGAACCGGATTCACGCCAAACCACTGCGCCACCGCCCCGAACACCCCCAGTATAAACACGCAGGTACACGCACGTACACACACTCGCGCCTGATACATATACATGCACACGCATGCCCAAAACAAAGACAGCGCGCAAAGGTCGCCCGTATAGCCTTAAACCGGCTTCGAGGGCAAGTGCTGCTAGTGAGATGGTATGGCCGCGCCCACGTCTGTCCGCCTTTGTCTCCCCAGTGCGGATATGCACACACCGCACCAGGTACTCATTTAAGGCCGAGTAGACCTCGGGGAGGCCAAGACCCTGTTCCGATATTCGCGGGAATCGAACTCAGGTGGCTGGGTTCGTAGCGCGGTGCGCTAAGCACTGCCCCACCGCTCCCCACCCAATACACAAAGACAAAGATCCCCCGTATAACCTTAACATACTGTAGGGGCAAGTGCTGTTAGCGAGCACCTATGAAGGCCGGAACTGCACACGAGGGGGTGCGTGGCCAGCACCACGCCCGACCACATTTCTCTCCCCAGTGACGATGTTTACACACCGCATCAGGTACGCATGTGAGGCTGAGTCGACCTAGGGGAGGCCCAGGACCGGTTCAGATAATCGTCACTGGTGTTGGCCGTGAGCGGGAATCGAACCCGGGTCGCCGGGTTCCTAGCGCAGCGCGCTAAGCACTGCCCCACCGCTCCCCACCCAATACACTCACACACGCGCACTAACACCCGACACACGCGCGCGCACACGCAGCACACAATTGACAGTGACACCGCGTTAATTTGTTATCTCCGAGAAGGCAGAGACGTCACCCCTCAGGATTCACGTCTGGGACACCAAGCCCGCACAACTGGACTCCCAGTGCAAGGGGTCTCCGATAGCTCCCAGCTCTCAGGCGCGGCAGTTTTATCTATATAGTGTATATATATATAGTGTGTGTATATATATAAATGGTTTAAAGTGTCTCAAATCCCCTGCGCAGCTGCTATCCACCCAGCACTGAAAAGTGTAGCGCACCACACTTGTAATGCTGTAGTCGATGGACAGGCGGTGGGATGACGTGTGGGTAATCCCACCTCTTCCAACACGTCTGGTCGACGTGGAAGAGTAGACCAAATACTGTACCCACCCCCCCCCCCCCACCCCTGGAGGTCGTTCCTGGGCGGAGGGAGTCCCTAATGCTTACCAGCAGTTGCGTAAGAAAGCAGGGGTGCCAATTGACAAAAAGCAATATCAACTGTGTGGGCCCTGGCCACGAATACTCGATGTGAGCGGGGAGATTGGTATGTGCCCTTGTGCACAGGTAATCATTTGGTGTGGCGCGACTTGACAATGTTCACAGGCGTGTGGGGCTGTGTGTGTGATGGGGAGCGGTGGTGTCGTGGTTAGCGCGCTGCGCTACGAACCCGGCGACCAGAGCTCGAATCCCGTTCACGGCCAGCACCGGTGACGATTATCTGAACCGATGCTGGGCCTCCCCTAGGTCGACTCAGACTTAAATGAGGTACTTGTGCGGTGCGTAAACCTTGCCAGAAGGGAGACAAAGGCGGCCGGGCGTATTTCTGGCCACCCACCCCCTCGTGTGCTGTTCTGGCCTTCATAGATGCTCGCTAACAGCACTTGCCCCAACAGTCTGTTGCGGCTATAAGGGGGATCTTTGTCTTAATGTGTGTGGATTGGGAGGGGGTCAGTTATTCTCTTGCAACACAAAGTGTGGACTGTAAAATTAAATATATCACGCAGGGTTGTGACTACACAAATATAAGAACTCAAGTAATACAAACAACCTATGACTCGATTATAAAAACCAAAATTGACAAAACACAGAGCGATGATTGTTCTGCTCCTACAGCCCTGAGCCAGTTGTTGCAATTCCTCATTCCTATGGCGGAGGGGGGGGGCGAGTATTTGCAAGAGAAGGACAACTTCCGTACAAAGGAGGTACCTATTGTATCGACCACCGTGTAATATGATGGGCTGAGGCCATCCCCTTAACCATCATTCGGACAGTTGTTAGTTGGCGACCGCCACTGATCTACCTAGCCAGGCAACCGAAATTATTTACTCAGAGGGACAAAAAATGTTGGGGGGGGGCAGGGGGGGGAGTTGGTGGAGGGGGCGGGGGGGAGTTGGTGGAGGGGAGGGGGGGATGTAGGGGGGGACTGGAGGGGGGGGCTGGAGGGGGGGGGGCTGGAGGGGGGGGGGGCTGGAGGGGGGGGGCTGCAGGGGGGGGCTGGAGGGAGGGCTGGAGGGGGTGGCTGGAGGGGGGGGCTGGAGGAGGGGGCTGGAGGGGGGGGGCTGGAGGGGGGGGGCTGGAGGGGGGGGCTGGAGGGGGGGGCTGGAGGGGGGGCTGGAGGGGGGGGGGCTGGAGGGGGGGGGGGCTGGAGGGGGGGGCTGGAGGGGGGGGCTGGAGGGGGGGGGGGCTGGAGGGGGGGGGGGCTGGAGGGGGGGGCTGGAGGGGGGGGCTGGAGGGGGGGGGGACTGGAGGGGGGGCGACCGCACGCAGAGCCCCATGCGCACTGCCGCCTGGTGACCAATCACAGCACCGGGCGCGATCGGCGATGCTCAGTCGCCCCACGCGGCGCGGCTGCATCTCCATGGCAACGGGTCCACGTTGCGAGCACAACGTGGAGATGAATTGACGCGTCTCGATGCGTTTCCACGTGTCAACTGCGCAGTGGTGGTTCTAATCAATCGGCTTCACTGCATTGGCCTTTCCATCCAATATTGTCCCGCAGCAGCATTTGTTTAAAGTAAGTGGTGTTCCACCTCGACACGCCGCGCCATACTTCACCGCGCTGGTCAGTGACGGGGTTGGTGAGGGTGGTGACATAGAAGCATAGGAGTGTAGTACAACAGTGCAATGTGCTGCACTGCCATCGGCTACACAACAGTCGGGTGTACAAACATCTAAACTGTTCGCGCGCCAATTATTTAAACCAGCCGCGTCATTTATACGAAAAACAAAAAACTTCACGTCCACTTTCGCAAGTAAAGTGGAGACATTTTCACGACGAGGCAAGCGATTTGTCTCTGCCTTGTCGTCAACGCCGAACACAAGCGGAGCCACTGCTCGACACGATATCCAATTGTTGTGTACCGTGCCCTGACAAGCACGAGGACAATGGGTTTTTGTTATTTTCTAATAGCGCACCAATCTGGCCATTTTTCGTTGTTGTTCCATTTTGTGTTGCGTTTGGTTGTGTTCTTATTGTGAAAGTCGAACAATCACGCAACCTGCAGAGCCCGGGTGAGGCCCCAATGCAGCAGTGGATTGATGAAGGCCTATATATGGTTTAGGTACTTGATGACCATATATATACACCCACACACACACACTCTGCACTAGCAGATGGAGCGTATTGCAACAGTACATGCGACTCAATGCATTCGTACACACAGCACGAGTACATATATATAAAGACAAAGATCCCCCGTGTAGCCTTAACAGACTGTTGGGCAAGTGCTATTAGCGAGCAGCTATGAAAGCCAGCACGGTACACGAAGGCCTAGGTGGCCAGAACCCCGCCCGGCCGTCTTTGTTTCCCTAGTGACGATGTTTACTCCACACCGCACCAGGTACTCATTTAAGGCTGAGTCGACCTAGGGGAGGCCCAGGAGCGGTTCAGATAATTGTCACCGGTGTTGGTCCAGAACGGGGATCGAACTCCTGGGTCGCCGGGTTCGTAGCGCAGCGTGCTAACCACTACACTACTGCCCCCTACACATATATATACTAATATATATACCCTATATACATACACTCGATGTATACACACACACGTCACTACCACAAACATCGCCAGGCAGCGGTGGCTATGCACATGGCCTGTAATCCGAGGTTGATGGATCACACGAATGTTGTTATAAAACTCCCTACCGGTCGTGGACAACGAGGTTGTGCCGCATTCTCCTGGCTCGCCAGGAGAATGCGGTACAACAGATGTGGACTTTAACAGTCTCGTCTGTAATATATAATATAGATATAGGACAGCAGAGCTGGGTTGTGTCGAGGGGGGTTCGGGTCGGCTCACCACGTGGCTGCATTCTCGCGACTCCGAGTCGTCGTCTCCCCTCGAGAGTGAGCGATGATTGTGCCCACGGTAAGTGTACAGGATGATGTGTGTGTCCTACTCGCGTGTGTGTGTGTCCTTCTCGTAACGATGCACAGTCAATGCCCGGAGGGGCAGCGCGATTTCCAGTCTCGAGCTCGAGACGAACTACCGAGCAGCAGCCGAAGGAGGGAGGGATGGCGTGGACCTCGGAGATGGAGCGATTAGATCGGCACGGGCGTGGGTTCTGGGTGGGGTTGATGGTTGTATTGAGCGCTGACGTAGACATGGGAAAGCCTTCATCCAGCAGTGGATTGATCATGGATGCTACTGTTACTGCCGATGATAATTGATTATGATGAATTACCGAATGCAATTCCACCGCCGTATCTGTGGGCAATACGCCTGCACATACGCCTCACAACCAACCAGGGATAACGGACAATGCACAATGGACGATATTATTTTGTTGCAATAATATGTTTAGAGACGCTTCTGATGCTGTGGGATAGTGGATCCTCATTAACTGAATTTGTAACACAGTAGTGTTTGTACACTCCTATGAGCGCGTGTATATTATCATTGATGTTTTGTAACAACATCAATATTTTTCGTGATCAAAGATCGATTAGATGAAAAGCCGATATATTAATTTTCTAAAATTCTGTTTTACTTAACATGTAAATGATCGCGTAAGAGCACAGACTTAACTATACTGCATTTCATCTATCTGCCCTCTCTCAGCTCTGAAGAAAGGTCATTATCCGAACCATCGGTCTCGGAAATTTTTTTCTCTTGTTATATTTTGGTGTCGTATTTCATTATGAAGATGTGTGTGTTTTAAACATGATTGTATACCAGTATCAGCACAGTCCTTGAATTGCATTTTAATAAAAAAACTGCATTATAAAATAGTATTGTGATGAGTGGTGAACCCAGCCAATTGAATTCACCAACCCGTATTGACCATCGCTGGTGAAGTATGGTCAAACAACCCCCACCCCCATGACTGACAGGATGTGGTGGAGGGCCTTAATCCAGCAGGAGATCGACCATAGCCTGATGCTGATGCTGCTGCTGCTGCTGTGAATATTAATTGACCAAAAGCGTGTGTTTCTGTCTCTTTTAGGTAAAAATCTGGTTCCAAAACAAACGCTCCAAATACAAGAAGCTGATGAAGGCTGGCGGCGCCGGGCTTGAGAACAACCCGTTAGTGAACACTGGCTGCCTGCCGCCCAGCCCGGTGTCAGGGCACCCCCAGCAAGCGGTGTGGGACATGGGCCCCCCGGCCGTCAAGGGCACGGTCATGTCCCCCGGAGCCTACATGCCCCCTTACTCCCACTGGTACTCACCATCGGCGCATCAAGAGAGCATGGCCAACCAGCCCGTCATGTAGCCAGGTCTCCGCGGGACGTGTGCGTCCCTCCTCCTCCTCATCCTCCATCCACGACTGCCCGCGAAACCACCCCTCTCCCAGACGGAGCTTCGGTGCCGCGGTTTAATTTAAACTGCATAAGCTGTAAATATATATATTTTTAAGAGAATTGAACACACGCGCGCTCTCTCACTCGCCACGCGGCACACGGGGATGCGCTGACACACGGCATACACGACTGCACCGGCGCGCACACCGCTGTGGCACGCGTACGCACACTTGCACGCACGATTACGTTACAGATACGCACACACGTGGATATATATATATATACACGCACGCACGGGCGCACGCACGCGAGTGATCAGAACCGAACTGACGAGGCTGTTGGTGGTTTCCAATTCGTGACTTATCTGCAGGCGATGAGCAATTAACGGGGTCCTCAGCGCAGCAGTGACAGCGGCGACGCTTCTGGGCTAAGCCGGTCTGGCAGATGAATCAGGAGTAGACGATCAGACACCTTGCCGGCACTTCTCAGCTACCGACACTCCCGCCGGAACCCAAAGCGGCTTCGTGGCCTCGCAGAAACGAGTTCGTTCGGGGCATCGTGGCCTCCGTAACTGGGTGAATTATGAAGCGAACGTCCCACCTCCGAATCGAATGAAGGATCACACAAAGGTAAAGCTCTCCCGTATATCCCTAACATACTGTATGGGGCAAGTGCTGCTAGCGAGCAGCACCTATGAAGGATCACGCACACACGATCAACAACAACAACATCGGCCGCCATTCGCCACCAAGTGGTGGTGACATCACCACGGCGCTTGTGCCAGGCTAGGTGCACTTTGAGGCCACACACACGAGCACACACGATCTCGCACACACAGACGGAGGAGGCCGCGCCGAGCCGGACTAGGAACAGATCTCGGACCGGATCCATTGATTGGTGCAGACAGAGAGTGGCCGGGACATGGCAGGGTGCGCGTCCCTTTGATGATGATGATGATAATAATAATAATAAGAAGAAGACGTTGTCGTTGGAGTCGTTGTTGTTTGTCGTCGTTGCTATTGTTGGACGTGTTGACCATCCGTGTTTATTATTACTGCAGTACACGTGTGTCCGCTTGGATGTACACAGTCCATTATTTGTGTATAATTGGCCGTGGATTGGAAGCGGTTTTGTGACATTTAACAATGATCACGAACTAGCGACGTTTTGCCTACCCTCCGCCCCCCCTCCCCACCACCACCACCACCACCGCTCCCCACTGGAATTTTGACTTCGTCCCAAAATTTGTAAATTACTGAGAAATTACTGATCGCAGCGCAGGACGGGACGGAAGGATATTGATCGATTGCGTGGCATTCCCACCCGTGTTCTGTATATATGGACTTTCTTCCTAGATGTACATAACGGAATATATGTTACATGGTTTGTAGTTTTTTTTCAAAAGCCGTCACGATGAAATAAATAAATGTTGCTAGAATAAAAAAAAACGTGCATTCTGTCGCGACTCGGTTCTGTTGAACGATTCGATGTGTTCATTTATTATTATGTTTGCTTTTACATGTCGCTGAAACAACAACAACACCGCGTGAACTATAAACGTGCAGCATTGTGTCGACTTTATATCTTCCTATCGCCACAGTTGAGGTTATTAAAAATGCATCATATAATGTGTTTACATATATACAGAGACAAAGATTACCCAGACCGGTCAACACAAACTTTTTGGTGCAAGTGCTGTTAGCAACCACCTATGAAGGCCAGCACGGCACACGAGAGGGTAGGTGGCCAGCACCACGCCCGGCCGCCTTTGTCTCCCGAGTGCCATTGTTTACACATCGCACCAGGTACTCATTTGAAACTGAGTCGACTTAGCGGGTTTCCCAGGACCGATTCAGAAAATCGTCACTGGTTGTTGGGGGTCGTGAGCGGGAATCGAACTCGGGTCACCGGGTTTGTAGAGCAGCGTGCCAACATCTACATTACCGATCCCCACATATATACATACACACATACGTACGTAAACCGTGACAACATTAACAAGAAGCGCGTGTGTCAAGATAAAGGCAATATAATGTTACCGTTAACAATGACTTGATTTTATATTATAAATACTACCATTATACGCTCATGATGCTGTACAAGGCACCCGTTATAAAACATCAATCAGCAATCAAACATACAATCCAGGACAAATAAATACATAAATCGCTTTTAAAACGCACAAAACAAAAACACTCGCTGGTGAGCGACAGGGCTAGGTCCTCACAATCGCGTCACAATTACAAACAATTGCGTCACAATTAAAACCAAACGCGTCACGCTCGCGTCACGCTCAAAACCAATCGGCACGTGCAATTCATTGTACTCTTCACAGTTTCAAGTACAACACACTATACATATATCCTTGTTGTAATACTGCAATTATAAGTAGCGCACGGCATTATATTTGTGAATACGTATACGGCGGTGTAGCTGGTAGCTGTGTGTAGACAACCACACAGCTCACCATTCGCTGCCGCAATTGGCACACAGTGGAGAAACACAGGTGGATGCATCTATCAGTCATATCTTAGACAGCCCATAACACCTGGGATATATCCCCACGTGACCTGCCGGCAGGGAGCCTTCCACACTTCAGGCGACGGCCTGGCAGTGCACCTAGCCTGGCACAAACACTGCGGTCACCGCGTGGCGAATGGCGGCTGCTGTGCGTGTGGCCGCAAGGAAGCCAATGAGTCACCCCCCAAGAGATTCAGAAATTGCTCACGGGGTCGAGTATCAATCAGTCGGTGAACACTGAACACAAACCATGAACGTAGCTCGATTGATAAATAATTATTAGTGACGTCACAACTCGCAATAAATTAATACAGAGACAAAGACCCCCCCGTATAGCCTTCACAGAGTGTTGGGGAAAGTGCTGTTTGCGAGCACCTATGAAGGCCGCAACAAGCACACGAGAGGGTAGGTGGTCAGCACCACCCCCGGGCGTCTTTGTCTCCCCAGTGGCGGTGTTTACTACACACCGCATCAGGTACTCATTTGAGACGGCGTCGACCTAGGGGAGGCCCAGGACCGATTCAAACAATCGTCACTGGTGTTGGCCGTGAGCGGGAATCGAACTCGAGTTGCCGGGTTCGTAGCGCAGCGCGCGAACCGCGACACTACCGTACTGTGTATACACATATATGTAAACATATATGTAAACATATATGTGTATACACAGTATGCACTACACACACATGCAGGCAGCAGCAGTGAGCAGGAGTTACATAAATGCACTGATCAAGACTCTTGCAGTGATTTCAAAGACGCTGCATACAAACTTTAAGCACGCCACTTGTATATACATTTGACGTGCATTTAACCGTGCACATTTTGTATAGCATCACTACACACACACATATATATAATGAAGGTTTACATCCCGCTTGTCAATCAAATACCTTGATAACTAATTTACTTTCGATATGCATATTGTAGTCCGGCATTATCGGTGTAAATACACACAAAGTAGTTACACAAAGGACATACACAAGGTACATACAGAAAGTGCATACACAAGATACATACACGTGGTACGTACACGTTACTATGGGCTGTCCGTGCTTGGCCGTCGGGATCGTCGTTGGCATAAGGCACTAACACTACAATGCAAGGTATGGCAATCTAGCATAATAATCCCGTATTATTGGACACTATTATTCAAAACAATCATATATGGACGTGTTCATACGCGCCAGACCGATGGATGTGGCGAGTAGCCAAGATAATTACCACCGGATCAGAGTTGCAAATGTTCCAGCTAAAATTAAGCACCTAATACACAACAGATTACAGCTGCAGACAGACACTTCATGCATACATAACATATATACATAATATATATATACATAATACACACATTGATGGCATGCGTACATACGCACACACACGTGCGTCCTATATATAACCTGTTGTTGTTGTTGTTGCTGCAACCACGGTAAAACGAATTTAGTAAAACACATAAAATGACAAGAGTATTCCCATTGATCGATGTTATTGGTCGGGTGTGCAGATTAAAACGAATTAATAAATGCAGGGAATTTTGGATTAAAATCTAATTTCTAAGCGATGGCCCGGGACATACACACACACACATACACGCACATTCATTCATTTCAGATGTTTTTCTTGTTATTTTTTTCATCCGCCCACTTCATACCGCAGCGACATTTTCAGTAATAATTGTACTTCGCAATTTTCAGCTGCTCCTAAAAGCACGTGTTCGGGAGGCTATGCGCGCTATCTTGGAAGCATTCAATCCACAGTTCCGTAGACGTTAGCTTCAAAAAGTGCGGCACACACACACAAGGATCCCCCGTATAGCCTTTAACAGACTGTTGGGGCGAGAGCTGTTAGCGAGTAGCAGCTATGAAGGCCGGGATTGCACACACAGGGTGTGTGTTCAGCACTCTTGATGTTTACGCATCGCACCAGGTACTCATTTTGAAGGCTGTATCGGAGCGGTTTCAAATTATTTCACCACTGTCATTGGTCGTGAGCGGGTATCGAACTCGTAGCGCAGTGCACTAACCGCTACGCCACCGCTCCCCACATATTACACGCGCACACATGCAGGAGACACAAAGACACAGACGGCACACACACACACACCATGTCTCTAAAGCATCTCTATTCCCTTTGTGACTGCAGGCGCAGTGTGAATAGAAATAATTGAGATAATCTCCGGCAAAGTGGCTTCTAAGACGCGTGCAACCCCCTCCCTCCGACCCCCCCTCCCGTTTTTTTTTTACCCGGCCACCTAATTAAGTGCGATTTCTTTTTGTTTCCTCGTGCTCCGAAATTACGGAGGAAACAGCAAAACGGCACCACCGCCAACAAAAGAGGAATCGCATCCCCCCCTCCCTGTCCTGCATCGCCTCCCGTGTCCCCATCTCTCCTCACCCATCGCCATCCCTCCCCATCCCTCCTAATCCCCCCTCACACCTCCTTACCGCTCCTCAAACCTCCTCACCCCTCCTCATCCCTCTTAACCCACCCGATCACTCCTAATCCCCCCCCTCCTCCCTCCTCCTCCCTCCTCATCCCTCCTAACCCCTACCCATCCCTCCTCACCCCTCCTCCTCCCTCCTCCTCCCTCCTCCCCCCATTCCCCCTCCTTCCCCCTCCTCACCCCTCCTCACCCCTCCCCATCCCTCCTCACCCCTCCTAACTCCTCCCCATCCCTCCCCCCTCCTCCCCCCTCCTTCCCCCCTCCTTCCCCCACCTGCCCCCTCCTCACCCCTCCCCATCCCTCCCCCTCCTCACCCCTCCTTCCCTCCTCCTTCCCCCTCCTCACCCCTCCCCATCCCTCCTCACCCCTCCCCCATCCCATCCCTCTCCCATCCCACCCCATCCCCCCCTCCTCCCCCCTCTTCCTGCCTCGTGTTCCGCTCACACGTGCGGGGGGAGTGGGGCGGCGGGCGTCCTTACCCCTTATCCCAACAAACATGCACGATACATACGTGTATGCTTGTACGCGTGTATACACACACACGCGCACATGCATACGTCAGGTACGTCCGTGCATACACGTGTATACATCGACGCGCACACGTAGGTAAACATGTACGTGTATAAGTCACATGATTATGACTGATCCTACGTGTCTACGTAGTAATTTCACAAAACACACGCCACACTGCACGTGTAGTGCATATATGCACTTACACAGGGTCATTACACACAAAGACAACGATCCCCCGTATAGCCTCTAACATACTGCTGGGACAAGTGCTCTTAGCCTCTTAGCGAGCACCTATGAAGACCGGCCCGGCACACGAGGGGGTGGGTGGCAAGCACCACGCCCGACCGCCTTTGTCTCCCCAGTAGCGATGTTCACACACCGCACCAGGTATCCATTTTGAGGCCGAGTCGACTTAGGGGAGGCCCAGAACCGGTTTGGATAATCGTCACCGGTGTTGGCCGTGAGAAGGATTCGAACTTGGGTGGCCGGGTTCGTAGCGCAGCGTAGCGCTAACCGCTCCCACTACCGCCCCCTCGTTACATACACACAGACACACGCACACAGACAGACACACACACAGACAGAGACACACAGACACACACACGGACACACATACAGACACACACACACAGAAACACACACACACACAGACACACACACAGACAGACACACACAGATAAGATAAAGATAAAGATCCCCCGTATAGCCTTAACAGACTGTAGGGGCAAGTGCTGTTGCGAGCACCTATGAAGGCCGCAACGGTACACAAGGGGGTGGGTGGCCAGCACCACGCCCGACCGCCTTTGTCTCCCCAGTGGCGATGTTTACACACCGCACCAGGTACTCATTTGAGGCTGAGTCGACCTAGGGGAGGCCCGGGACCGGTTCAGATAATCGTCACTGGTGTTGGCCGTGAGCGGGAATCGAACCCGTGTCGCCGGGTTCATAGCGCAGCGCGCTAACCGGTACAC